TAAATGATAATTGAACCAAATCAGACGAATGCAGAAGGAAAAGAGAGGAGGATCAACAATCAACGGGATCTAAACCTAGTTTATATCACCTTTTAATCAGTACTTAACAGTTAAACCATATTATATTAGCAAATCATTTCATACATTGTAACCAGCATGAACTTTTGAGCATATAATTTCCTGAAACTTGAAGCATAGTGACCTCTGACCAGCAACAAAAAAGTAATATAAAGGGTAAGAAGAATTGATTTTCCGATGGTCACATAATCACTTTTCTTCAATTATTTTATTTTCCGCTTTGCAATAAGATTGTGACTCTAGGGCCAGAAGAAACTTAATGTTCTTTCAGTTTACATCCATCTATCATTGAAGACAAAGCTAGAAAAATGTTCGCTGAAAAATTAATAATATTCATACTTCAGCAACAAGGAACTTTCTATCACTCTTCAATCAAGATATTTAGGTAGATGTCATTTATTGTTGCACCTAATTTAAACATCACACTGTCCAGCAGAAAAAAAAAAGGTTGAACCCAAGAATATGTTTCGACTCTTTGGTGTGCTCGATTGCTTTAAGTTTAAACGAAAGTAGAAAGACCAACACGGATTTTCAGTAGTAAAAGAATTTTTAGCATAGGGGTGATTAGGGGATAGCAGATAGCTTCTTTTTTCCTCCCCTAATAGTGTTCGTTGCCATACAATTTACCTTACCAAACAACACGAGTGATGTAGGACAACTAGCTTTGGAGTTTGAAGAAGTGCTGGACAGGAAATTGACGAAGAAAGATCGCGTCAGGGGCAATTTGGTCATTGGCGCTACGATGTCAGAATGGGCTGAAATTTGGCAAGTTGATTGAAAACGGCCTGAAAAATTGGACTCGGGGCAGAGTCCCGAGATCTCGGAATTTTAGAAAAATTATATCGTTTAAGCCTTCAAATAATTAATTTCCATATTTTCAGCAGCCCATTGGAACCACTAACCTTGGGAAGACGAGCCAAGTCCAATGCATGTTTCGGAGGCTTCAGATACGCCAAAGAGAAAGGAGATCTACCCGTAGCAATGTGAACCGCATTATTATACGCGAACT